CCTTCAATTAAGATCGACTCAGCCTACTAAGACTATTGTAACAACCAGTGCCTCGGGAAACATCACAATCAGTAATGTACAAAATGTGAAAATAGCACAGCCAACGTTGAAGCGGGCGACACACAATGCCCAACAAGGGCGTAATGTAAGATATTAACTTTTATCTTATTGTTTTTATAAATAGAATCGTGTTAGATAAAAATTTCAGTCTGGCAGTTAATGATATTATCTTTCATGGAATTCCAAAGTATTTGTAATTTGATAAATGTTGCAGGTATATACAAAGATGATATTGACAGGGAATCAGGCGCAACCTGGTACTCAGCAAGTTCTTATTACAAATTCGCAAGGCGAGAGTCAACCGGCTCAGGGAATCAAATTCCTCAATAACAGCTCCTCCGGTTACAGCGTAACGAGCCCGACGAAAACCATCACATTGGCGCAGGCCCAACAAATGGGCATATTTTCCACTAACAAGGTACAGCACATTCTACCGTCATCCTCGCAAAAGCAGGTGTGTGTTCAATTTTTGCGTTGTACTATGCAGCTTGTTGAAAGAATGTATGCATCTCGCGCGATGACGAGTGTTACATGTGCGCATTTATATTTTCGCAAAGGGTATGATACTGAATAAGTTGCTACAATCTTCAACATCTCAGCAGTCGAAGGTGACGATAGTGCCGACCAGTGCCGCGAAGTCACCAACGAAAATCCTTCCCGCGCCGGCCACGAATACTCAAGTGAAATCCGTGACAACGGCGAATCAGCAGACGTTCGTTTCGTCGAAGTCATCGGGACAGCCGAATCCGCAGAAAGTGATCATCCGACAGGTAAATTATTATCAAATAATCCAAAGTTTGATTTCAATTCTGACGTTTATCTTTTTAAAAATAGACTAAAACATAGATTAAAATGATTAATATTTAATTATTGTTTGTTATATTTATGATCTTTATTAATACTACTATTTTTTGACTAATTTTACTAACTTGTTGATTAAAATCCATTCTACATCTTATTACGTTTTTTGATAAAATTAATGAGTTATAATTATTATGTGATAAAAATCTTTAATTTTTTTAGAGTTCTTTGAAACCTGGCACTGTGCTTGGCAGTGGACAGGTCATCAGAATACCTGCTAACCAGAACATTGTAACAGGATCAAATCAAATTCAGATACCTGGAAGACAAGTACGTCACAATTTATAATTCTTAATAAATCTATAATGAATTAAACGTAAATATGTATATTTAATATATTACGCTATTTTTTTAGGTGCAATATGTAAGATTAGTCAGTACTGCTGCAACAGGGACTACCAACGTCGTTACTGTGGGCAAATCAAAGCCTGCTGCAACACTTCAGACTGTAGGTATCAGTCAAAAAGTAGGGAATCAGCAGATTGTAAAAGTATGTGTGAATTTAATAGTATGAATAATTTTGAATAGAAAACGTAGGAAAAAATTATATTTTTATGTGCATGCGCGTGTTATTATTTTAAATTGTTTTATACATTTCTTTGCATTTTTAAAACCAAGAATGTTTAAATATTCCGTTTCTATCAGTTCATTCTATGTATCGAATTTTAGTGGTTTTCTTATTAGGATTGACGAGACAGTGTGTTATATACAATTCAAATATATATATATCGGAAGTCATACTAATACTTTTCATCTATGATTTGCATCTAGGTTGTACCGCTAAATACTACTAATCAATCTTTGAGAACCGTCGCGCCGAAGGCAACTTTAACGAGCGGTAGTCAAAGATTGCTCATACCAGCAGCAGCTGCTGCTGCCGCAGCTATCGGTAGTCAGTCGAAGAATGCCGTAGCCATTCCTGCATCAGCATTGAGCCAGACAACGTTGAACCAACTAGCATCAGGACAAGCGGTCCTGTCAGCTAGTCATGGAAACATCGTTGTTCTACCTGCTCAATATGTTCAGAAACAGGTTTCGATATTTAAATATTTAAACATTGATAGTGATAGATAAATTAAAAAATAAAGATTGCTGTGAGATTCTGAAAAATCTTTAATTGAATCTTTGTTCTTTATAAATATTTTAAGTATGCAAAATTTCAAATATGAACAATATTTTACATGCAAATATTGATTTTGAATGTATAAAGAATATTTAATAAACTTTGAAGTATTGTAAAAATATTTAGAGACGTTTAATCAGCAATTTAAGTATAATGCATTGTATATGTCGTGATGAGAGCATTGCAAGTATCTATTATTTCTTGGACAATTTACAATATTTTTAATGTATAAAATTTTGCTACTCGTCCGGACAGGCAACGGATAGCACAAAATCAAAATCCCAACCAGCGACACCGAGTCTTCTAGGAAATTCACAAACTTCCCCTTTGTGCGTAATTGATGGGAAGAATTCTCAAAAAGGAACTTACAGTGTTGAAGCGAACGGTATCAGGCCGAGAAAACCATGTAACTGCACGAAATCGCAGTGTCTTAAACTGTAAGTATTTTATCGAAATGTAAAAAATTTTATTTTATCCACACAAACATATTAGATGGTTTCTCAAACATTTTAATAAATCTTCGATAAAAATTATTTTTTACACTCAACATTTTACTCGACTGTTTATTCATAAGTATAGTAGGCTATGGATTTTATCACTTTCCGTTGTTATTATCGTGATATGACAGTTTACAGCATTGCTTTAAAACCATTCGTTATTAAGTATTTTTTCGCGAAAATATTATTCAAACTCGAATAAGTTTAATCTAAGTAAGCAACACACAAAACTAGAAAATCGAATAGAATTGAATGGAAAAAATTGAAGCTTCTTTAGAATTAGCTTAAGTAGAATTCATTTAATTAATCAAAGCAGAATTGATTACAATTTCTCTATATTTTGATTTAAATATAAATTTACATGAAATCTTTCTTACAGTTATTGCGATTGCTTCGCGAACGGCGAATTTTGCCATATGTGCAATTGCAACAATTGCTCAAACAATCTTGGGAATGAGGAAGAGAGACAGCGCGCGATTAAATCCTGTCTGGAGCGCAACCCTAACGCCTTTCGACCTAAAATCGGGAAAGGCCGCGAAACCGGCGACGATACGAGAAGACACAACAAAGGCTGCAATTGTAAACGCAGCGGTTGCCTTAAAAATTATTGCGAATGTTACGAGGTATTTAAAGTTGCATATTGATTAACAAATTAAATTTGTGAACGTATAGTTTCTTTTTTTTTTAAATTTGGTAACACATTTAAACATTGTGTAATTAATCTCTTATTTTTCCTCTACACTTTACGTACATTTGTTCCGATAAAATATAAATAATTGTTCAAAATGTAGCATCTTGTACATATTTTGTTCAAGTTTCAATAACATTTAAGAATTTTGATTAGCTTGTAGATCTACTTTTTAATACAATAAATTAAAATTTTTTTCTAGGCAAAAATTCCATGCTCTGGAAATTGTAAGTGCATAGGCTGTCGTAACATTGAAGATCCAATATTAGAGAAAAAATCATTGAAGGATTTGGTAGAAGCAGCAGAAGTGAGAACAACTCAATTCAACTTAAACAAAGCACAGCTCCAATTGTCAGAAATGGCTTTCAGACCTCCAGCAACCAATACTGGCTCAAGGTATATAACACATTTATTTTCAACATATTATTTTTGGTAAATCTAAACGCACACTGCATTTATATTAATAATACTATTTTACAAAATGTCACGATTAAAATTTTTCCACAAAATTCAGACAAATGTGCTTTTCTTTTGATTCTAGTTTTCTCAAGTAAATAAATTATTTGACTAGTCAATTGATAAATCATTGAACACTATATAATAAGCATATATATTCGACGATTTTCTTCAGATATACATGCCATTTTTGTATTTTTCCAGACAACCATTTAATTTTCTGACGGACAAGGTAGTGGAGATAACATGCCAATGTTTAATGGCGCAAGCAGATGAAGCGGAGCGTAATATGTACGACGACGAGACGTCGCAGCGTCTCATTATCGAGGAATTTGGACGATGCTTAAAGGAGATCATCGAGTCGGCACACAAAGCTGAAGCTACCTAGCAGGTGCATATGCAGAATTTGCATTGCAATCTTCGTTCATCACAATTGATTATGGGGATTGGGTAAAAATAAGATGATAGTATATAAATGCGAGTGTTGTTACCAAAGATATTATCACAGAGGATGTGGAAACAGTTTTTTCCAAGCAAAATCGTGAAACGTTTTATCTAGGAAAACTCATCAAATTATTCTTTAAGCGCCTTTCAAAAATGATAAATTGAGAAATACTTGATAAAAAAAATTTGAACAAGAAAATAGTGACAATTAACTGATAATCAAGAGTTTTCTTAGAACCATGTATTTCAAATAATAAGTCCAATGCTGGGTAATAAAAAAAACAATGGTATTCGCCTAGTAGTTCAATTGCTTAATCATCATTAGCGCTTGACAAGGTTACACAGTTATGATGGAGGAGGTATATCGAGAGAGAAAGCAAAAGAGCGAGAGAGAGAGAGAGAGAGAAAGAAAGAGTAGGAATATAAGATTTTGTGAATTTATGCATTTCGTATATTCTTAGAAATAATTCGTTATATTCGCAAAATAATATATTAGACAGTAAAACCAAAATAATTTCACACGTACACATGTATGTAGTTAAATTTTCATTGATCTGCACTTTTTTTCTCACAATTTATTTAATCACAGATAAAGAAAAAGACCTATGAGAAGCTTTATGATAAAGAGTTTAATTTGCAGTAGTTGCATTTAATTAATTTTAACAGTACATACATATATATATATATAAATATATATATTTATATATATATATACATAAATATATATATATATAAAATATATATTTTATATATATATATATACATAAATATATATATATTAAATATATATATATTTATATATATTTCAAAAACGTACAAATAAGTCTATTGATTGAAATATATATATATAATAGTATGCGACAACACAACTGCGACTTAGGTTCTTATAGGTTCGTTCTTCACTGTGATTGTACATATATTAAAACACCTTTATACTATTTGCATATATATTGCTTATTTAATTTTGAATATTAGATAATTTAATAATACTAAGTGTCGTAGTTTTATTCGATTAAAGAAGATATTAAGTATAAGAAATATAATTTGTTCACGATATTTTTAAAGCATAATTCGTATTTTTATTTTTAATGATTGGTAATTTAGATATCGACGTTGGTCGAAACAAATAGCATTGTTCATTACGATAAGAATAACATGCAATGTTTGAGACGCTGTATTATATGTATATGTAATTCTATAATTAAAATGTTACGATCAAAAGTGCAGCTGCAGTTTATACAGGTATATATATATATGCATGATGCATTTGCATCGATTAGAATGTAATCAATGGTGTCATCTGGTTTTACTGCGTTTATAAGTGTTCTGTTGTCAACTCTGTTCTGTGGATAATTTACGAAATAATTCCCGTTTGGTTCTTTTTCTATTTTATCCTTTTTTTTTCTTTTCTCGTATTTAAAATTTACAAAAAAAAAATTACATTAACTCTTTATAAAGTGTTGATCTTAGCAATAGCGAGTAAAGTATAAAGTGCTTGATAATTTTTATTCAATAAATATACTTTATATATTTTTTTTCTATCTGCTACTGCGAATTAATTTTTATTTCATATTTTCACATATTGACAGCAATAAAAAGATAACTGAAAATGTCTCCTTTTAAAGAAAATTACTTGTACGATAGTTCATTATTTTTCAAAGTCTTGTCGTGCGGTAAAATAATTATATAGTTTGTTGTGTAGAGTAAAATTGAAAACAAATTATTATTATTAGTGTGTATCCTTTTCTTCTTCACTATTTTCTTGTAAATATTCTGTACATTTCCTACAATGTAGAAAATATATCAATCAAACTTATTAAATTAGATAATTTTCTAAGAAAATGTTAAGATATCTAAATGTATCTTATATTTCAATATGTCTAAATATATCTTAAGATGTTATATTGCATCTTAAAAAGCTTCGCTGATAAAAAAATGTAGCATTAGTTATGCTAATTGTAAATGTGTGTATGTATGCTACATATTTACAATCCATATTTATAATTTATTTGATTTTATAAATACATGATAAAGTTTTTATGTTACATATTTTACAAAATTCGTGCTATATTTGTTATAAAAAAAGAAAAATCACTTTTCCTGAAAGGATAAAAGATAACGAGGCAAACCTTCGAAAAATAGAATTAGTCAATAATTATTACTTTTAAATATATAATTATTTTCTTTAGATAAAAAATATATGATTATAAGAAGTCTAGATATATGTGTGAATTTTTTGCTTCATTTGAGAACATTGATTTTGACGATACAGAAAGTAATAAATTTCAAGGATTTTGCATAATGTGTTCGATTATATACTAAAATTTTACAATCTTATTTTTAGATCGCTGATTGCTTCTCTTCTTTACATCTTCCTGAAGAGATTCTACGGCGGAATTGTCCATTTTTTCTACCGTAACAGCGTTGTCTTCCTTGGCGTTCACCAAATCAGGACAGTCCTTCTTCAAGTGTGTTACAGCCCCGCAGACTTTGCAGCAACCGCCATGAGGATAAACTCCTTTCGGATTGTCAGGACATTGCAAGGCAATGTGTCCCTGTTCATGGCAGATGAAGCACTTGGCGAATCTGTAGGTAGCCTCCCTGTTGACTTTGCACTCGAAATGTGTGTGCTCTGTCGAACCGCATTTGAAGCAGATACCTGTGCTGGTCTCCTCACGATCGAGCTCAGGACAATCCGAGAGATTATGTCCAGATTTGCGACAGTTGAAGCAAACAAGTTTTTTGACACGCGCTAAAGCTTTCTCAGCTCTGCGTCTCTCCAATTTCATCGCCGTATCTACTTCAGATTTTGGTATACCTGAAAAATATGCATGAATATAATATTTTGTGTTATTATATATGTCATATAAATTTGCATATAGTTACCCTTCATTATTAATTTCTGTTTAAGTTCTGTCAATCTAGCTGCATCTTCCTTTTTGATAGGAAAGCCATCAAACTTTACGATTTCAATTTCCACACCATTGATTATCACTTTTGTGACACCAACATCTGGCTTTCGCCTTTTGTATTCTGTTTTTGGTTTTTTAATTCTTTGCTCTTTGTTAAAAGCATTCTGACTTGATACATCTTGGTTGAACTTAGATTCATTGTCTGACGTTTTCAACTTTCTCTTTAAATTTCGCTTCTGTCGTTTACTCAACATATTAGAATTTGAACAGGCCTCATTTTGTGGATCACTCGATTTTTCTTCAACGAGTGATGATTCCTCAATATCTTGTTTTTTCTTATTAGAAATTTTATTTTTCTTGCTATCTGTTGTATTAGTTGTGTCTTCCGGTTTTTGTAATTTTTTTGTATTACTTTCAGGTGTAACAGTGTCATAATTTTGAGAAGTTTTTGTAAGATTTGTATCATTTTTATTTGTTTTTAAATTTTTAAGCTTTTTCTTTTTATTAAATTTAGAATTATTCTCTTCAAATTCTGCCCCAGTGTTTCCATTTGTATTATTATCTAACATGCTTTCTTGATCTTTTAATAATTCTTTTGCTCTTTTTTTCTTCTCCAAGGATTTTGTATTGTTGTTACTTTCAGGTGTAACAATGTCATTGTTTTGAGAAATTTTTGTAAGATTTGTATCATTTTTATTTGTTTTTAAATTTTTAAGCATTTTCTTTTTATTAAATTTAGAATTATTCTCTTCAAATTCTGCCCAAGTGTTTTCATTTGTATTATTGTCCAACATGCTTTCTTGATCTTTTAATAATTCTTTTGCTCCTTTTTTCTTCTCCAAAGGTTCCTTGTTTTTGTTCTCCTCTAATTGCTGTTTCATTACATGCCACGGAGTGGGCTCATTTGGCAACTTTTCATTTGATGCTTTGGATCCTTTTCCTCTTGCGTACCTGGTCATTTTTGCAAATACTGGAAAAAAATTAATTTATTAAGATTTTTATATATATAAACTTATTAAAAAGCTGTTTGTTAGACTGTTTACATATAAATAATTATAGATTACAATTGTATGCTGTTATTTCAAATTTTATGCGCTATTCCTATCGCAACACGTGCTCACTAAATTCTGACAGATTTTCCAACCTTAAAAATGTTATTTTAACCATTATTTCTTTCACATTGTCAAGTAACAATTTTCACTTTTAGATCCTTTTAGATTCCAGGAAAGAAAAAGCATCAAATAAATATTAATATTTTTATCTTATTAAAATCTGAAGTAAAAGAATTGTTATAAAATGGATAACCCATAAAGCATCATCTTATTATAATTGATCAAATATACAATAAATTAACGATAATTTTTTAATAACATATAAGCATGTTTGTAATAAAAAAATTACATGTTTGTTAAGAGAATAAATAAAACTTTTCTTACAAGTTATTATCGAAGTATCACAATAATCGTAAAACTACAATCGCGATAGAAAGACCATAGAAAGACGCACGCAGTATGCATAGGGTTGAATGTCTAGTAATTTCTTAGTGTTTGTTTACAATTGATGTGTTCCAAAACTCATTAAAAATATCACTTTTGGTATGACAATTATTACTATTTTCAGAACGCAATTATGGGCATTTATAAAACACGCTTTCGTATCGTAAAACACGCTGACGGGCTGACGCGCTCATCGTATAAAAGAGTGATAAAGCGGATTAATATATTTGCACATTTTGTGCACGTTGCTTCTTAAATTATATTCTTTCTAAATATTTACGAAAGTTTTTCGTAAAAATGGCGGAATTTGTGGATAAACGATGTGAGGATATGATTCCTGTGTTGGAGCAGATGGGAAACATCAAACTTTTTGATAAAAGTGAAATTAAGTAAGTTGAGATTATATGAACGCAAATGTATGTATCAAATATGTGGCAGCAAACTTATATCAGACTTTGATGATCATATTTCAGAAATATAGCTAAAAAGCTTAAAGAATTTGAGTACAAAATTCAACGACACACAAAGTGTAAGGAGGACTATCTTCGGTATATACAGTATGAAATGGATCTTTTAAAATTAATTAAACAACGGAGAGATGTAAGTAACTGAGTATTATATTATATTTAAAAAGATTGCTATATTATACTATAAAATTTTGATAAATATGCAGAATCTAGCAACTCTAGTATTATTATGAACTATAAAATTTGATACTTTACATTTTGGTGAATAGAATATGAAAATTATAATTCAAAACTAATTAATTTAATCTAAATCTAAATATACTATTTTTTATTTTATACTGTATTTTATATAGAATTATATATATGTAAACACATGTCACGTAAAAATTTTTTTGAAATTTATTCTATTTCTCTAAAATGTGCATAAATCTCTTTGGATATCACATATATTGTGTATGTTAAATAATTATATATTTTACAAACATTATATGCATATATTCTTTTAGAAATATGGTATTACTCAAAAAACATCAGAAATTGACTTTGAAATAGCTTGTAAAATAAATAGTTTATATAAAGCTGCAATATATAAATTTCAAGATGATATTAGATTTTGGATTGCTTACATAAAATTTTGCAAACATGTGGTAAGTAACAAAATAAGATGAATTTTGTTCTTTTATTATATGCAGTCAACTAAACACAAATGTTTTACAGCATTTTAATGGCAGTATCAGTCTAATGTTGAGTAGAATGTTGCAAGTTCACAGAGATAAGCCAAAATGCTGGCACATAGCAGCACGTTGGGAATTGGAGGAGAATAAGAATAAAGAAGGTGCTCTGCAATTTCTTCTTAGAGGTTTACAGATTCATCCTGATTCCCAGTTGTTGCACATTGACGCTTTTAAGTAAGTATTTTGAAAATGTATATTTTATGTTTTTTCTATAACTTATCAACTAATTACTCAAAATGTATTTTATATATACATTTTTTTAGACTGGAGCTGGACACTATTTCTGAGGTTTCTAATAGTGGTGAAAACGCTGAGAACTGCGAAGATAGCTCAGCGTCAGCAACGGTGGACGATAAAGAAATACCATCTTCATTGAAGAGAGCATATTCTGTGTATCGAAATGCTTTGGAACATATTAAGGATATTAAGTTTATAATAGAATTACTTAACATCACTAAGGAATACAGTGACATCGAAAAATTGCAGAAAAAAATTATTTGGTAAACAGATGTTAATGTTATAAATTTGTTGAGTGCATCTCTTTCTTCGTGAATGTAAATTGATTTGCGGTGTCCATATGATTAATTTGTAATTGTAGGGATATGATTCAGGAGTATGCTCACGAAGCTTTAACATGGGACACGATGGCGCGTCGTGAATTACAAGGTTTGATTCAGCCTAGTCTCACTGACACACCAATGGAACTCGAGAATTCCGAACAGACCTCCTTGAGAGATCGTATCACATCTTGCAACAAAGTCTACCAAACTGCTGTGAAGAAGATCAAAACTGAAGAGATGTGGTCGCTTTATGTAGATTGCTTATTGGAGATCAATCGTGATCAAGAATTGTTGCCGAATTTCAAGAAAAAGCTTCTGAGGACTGCCTTGGTGCAAGGTCATCAAGCAAAAAAGCTGAAGGAAAAATATTATTTGCACTGGGTTTGTGTTTTAAAATACTTTGCCATAACTATTGCTTATTGTCGCACATTTATTTTAATATTTCCATTTCCAGAAAGTCTCTTTTAGAACTTTACAACCAAAATATCTGTTAGGATATTAACATATTTTACAATTTAATGAATGCATATATTAGAAACAATTAAGCATTATTCTTTTTTTACGATTATCTAACGTATAACTATTGTATATTATAGATTAATATGTTAATCAGTAAGGAGATAAGCGGTAATGACGAAAATGCCCTTAATGAAGTGCTTCGTGGAGCGACCGATGCTATTCCGGACAGCGTCAGTCTTTGGTGCGAGCGAATAAAACATTTGTTGCAATTTGAGCAGGAAAATGAAGCAGACACTGTATTATCGGAGGTGAGAAATCTTGTGAATAATTATGTCGGTATAGAAATAATTTATTAATTGTCATAACTAGGCAACGGAAAAATTGGGCGAGAAAGCGTTACCTTTGTGGAGAATGCGTATCTTACACTCTCAAATCAGAAGTTCAGAAGATGCCGAAAAGATTTTCGAAGCCGCTTTAAAACACGTGCGAATCGCCAAAGAAATTAAGCCTATATGGCTTGAGTGGCTAGTTTTAACAAAAGGTAATCAAGATAAAATTAATGTTAATGCTTTTTACGTTTTGTTATTATCTTTTAGTTTACTTATTAAAATTTACGTATATATTTGTGCCGGTACACTTATAAATTTTTTGTAATATTTTGTATTTTAGGCATTCGTGCAACTCGCAAAGCATATGAAAATTTCTGCCGGCACCCACCCACTTCGTTGGAAGTTCATAAAAAGATGGCAATGCTGGAATGTTTGCAGCCAGAGGCTTCGTTGGAGCACATGCGACGACCTCATGAAATGGCGACGCTACAATTTGGAAGTGACAATACATCCGTTTGGTTAGATTATATTAAGTTCGAAATGAATTATGGCTCAAAGGAAGGAAAGGAATCGAAGAAAATCGGTAACATATATATGAGAGCAGTCAAGAACTTGGATAGTAATTTAACAAAGCCCTTTATGGAAGAACACAGTTTGTTTATGGCTAAATCTGATAATGCTAATTCAAAATAGTGCTAATTGCTTAAGCATATATCATGTATATATATCGTATATATACTCATATATACAGTGTATCATCAAAACCATTGTATCAACCTGTTATTTGTAATAAATAGATAATAAATTTATAAGGTAACATAATATAACGAAGCAAATAATTATGAAATAGATTTTAAATAAAATTATCTTCGCTTATTTTCATTATTTTTTGCAAGAGCGAAAAATAAAAAGTAAAATTTTTGCGAATATAGAGTATATGTATATATAGAGCTAAAAAGAGAGCGAAAATCGAAGTGAGAAGGAAATTTAAGTGGTGTTATCGAGCCATTAGCTGACTTGCGCACTTCATTTTAAGCCTCCATCAGTCTGTGCAACTTATTGCAGCAACCGCATGCGATCTAGTAAATTACTAGAAATGCTGTGTGCGCTGTATGGTGCATTTCTAGTAGTTTACTAGATTGCATGCGAATTGCTGCAACAAGTTGCATAGTCTGATGCAGGCTTTAGGCCTCAAAGTGCTGACAAAGAGTTGTGTTACTATATATAACGTTTCGTGCATCCGCAAGCTACTTTCTACTTTTATCCTCTTTTACCGTGGTGATTGCATTCTAACGTTGATAATGGAGTCCATTCCGCGGACGCACGAAGGTTTTTCTTATATTAATTTTCATATATCGTTTCTGAATTTATTTTGTATAATTAGAAATCTGGTGTTCTATAATTAGAGAAATAATAGAATCTATTTCTATTAGAGAACAATTATTAGTAGAAGTACGTTTTTATCATTGGCAAACTGGCATAACCTCTTTTGTGATTATTATGGAAAATAATTTTATTTTATTAATTAAATATTATATATGAAAATATTTTTAATGATACATTCATATTTATAGAAGACATTTGTAAAGAACTTATTTTTTTATTTATAATCTATAATGTAATTCTTTGATACACTTTATATATGATAATATTATATTTATTCATTACAGACATTGAAGCGCAAATAAAGGAGATTCAGTCTAAGAAAAAGGAGATATTGAATACTATATCTGAGAAGGAACAAGTTGGTTTAGGAAAAACTGGCTTTTATGATCAGGATATTTATGATGGCAGTAACAACAAATACGATGGCTATGTTACTTCAATTGCAACAAACGATGAGATTGAGGTAAATAACATATGATTTGAATATTTTATTATAGTCTAAGATTTAGTAATACTAAAATAGAAATTTTAAACAGAATATATTTGTTTTTACAATGTAACTTACAATTCATAATTTAACTTTTCTTCTTGGCAAGGATTATGATCCATTTGCGGATAGACGAATATCCACCATAGCTGATAGCAAAAGAGATGATGAAAAGGATTATGATCCATTTGCGGAAAGACGTCGGCCAACCATAGCTGAAAGAGAAGATGAATATAGGCAAAGGAGACAGAGAATGATTATCTCTCCTGAGCGTGTCGATCCTTTTGCAGAAGGTACTATTTTAATATATCTTTTTATTAATATTAATCAATATTTTGGCAAACTATAATTATATCTTTACATTTTTTATTATTTAATTATAAAATTTTTATAAATTAGTAAGTTTGATTCCATCTTTGCTTTATGTATATTTTTGCCTATAAATACAAAAATTTTATTTATTTTTTTTTTTAATAGATACTGCACGCAAATTTACCTAATTCAAATTTAATAAAATCTAAATTTGGCGAGATTGAATAATCTCAGAAGTTGAATTTAGCAAAAGCTGTAGGAGTTAGACTATTTATGGTCGAACATTTATAAGCATTCTACAATTAGTCAAACAGTTATGTATTATAATTAATATGAAAGTAAAACGTGTGTAATTTAATCAATTAATATATGATATTAATATATGATATTACTTACAGGTGGCAAAACTCCAGATGTTGGTTCTAGGACGTACACTGAAATTATGCGAGAACAAATGCTTAAAGGAGAGGAAATGGAGGTAAATTTTATTAAATTGGAAATTTAAAGTTAAATTAATTTTAAATATGATATAAAGCGTACATGTACGTATGTTTTTTTATTATTGAAATTTATATGATACATAAATGTTTTTTGTTTTTTAATTGTATATTTTCAATATCTCATTTATTATGTAATTAGAATTTTTAAATTATACTAATCAACTTTTGCATTTTTTTTTCCTGCACAGTTAAGAAAACGATTAACAGAGAAGGTTAAAGATGGTACTCTAAAAGCTAACGGTGAATCTAAACTGGCACCGAAGAAGAGAGGTCGTTGGGATCAGACGGATGATGCTCCAGTGTTGAAGAAACTATCTGGTGTTGCGCTAACACCGTCGTGGGACAATGCAGACGTATGCTTGCTATATTATATTTATATAAGATTTAATTGCGATTTTTACAATAGAATCTCTCTGCATTTTTGTAGTCTACGCTTCCGCAGTTTTGTTCGCTTCTTCTCTTATCTCTTTATTTTCTCATTTACATAAAATTTTATATTTGAGCTAATATTTTGAATTAAAAGTACGATAAAACATTAAGAAATTGCAAATTGATTGTATATATATTTGTAATATTTTTTGTGTACTTATCTCAGGTAACACCAGCTACTATTAGATGGGATGAAACTCCCGGCCACGGCAAAGGAGCAGAGACACCTGGAGCTACTCCAGGCGTCAGCACAAGAATGTGGGACGCTACACCAGCGCACGCGACACCAGGGGCTGTTACTCCGGGCAGAGAGACACCTTCTCACGAAAAAGTTGCGTCCAGTCGACGTAATCGTTGGGATGAAACTCCGAAAACTGAAAGAGGTTGAATTCTATTATTTTGCTTCATTAGTTCTTTTATTTGTTTGTTCTTTCAATTTGTTTTCTACACATAACTACGAAATTACCTTAATATTTTAATTATATCTAAAAACTTTTATATAATTATGAAACTTGATATATTTAACACATCAATATATTTATTTTATTAATAGTTTTGTTATATTGAGTGCACATCGTAGAAATATTAATATATTACTAATTATACTGTAGAAACACCCGGACATAATAGCGGTTGGGCAGAGACTCCGAGAACCGATCGGGTTGCCGGGGATTTGATACAAGAAACTCCGACACCTTCGGCGAGCAAGCGGCGAAGTCGATGGGACGAGACACCGTCAAATCAAACGCCAGGCTCGATGACGCCGCAGACTCCGGCGACGCCACTTACGACTCCTCATCAAACAACGATATTAACTCCGAGTGCTCTTACACCGACGGGACCCAAAGCGATGGGTCTGGCCACTCCGACTCCAGGACATTTGATGTCTATGACACCTGAACAACTGCAGGCTTATCGTTGGGAACGCGAGATAGACGAGCGCAACAGACCTTTATCGGACGATGAATTGGATGCGCTGTTTCCACCTGGATACAAAATTTTGCAGCCACCAGCAGGTAAGACGCAGATACAATGATGGAATTAATATTTTTTAACGAATATTAATAATGTTTTAAAATAGAATTTAGATATTAGAAAGTTAAAAACATAAAAAACAAAATATTTAAAAATGTTAAATGTAACAAAAATTATAGTATTTTTTTTATAAAACAATTCAAAAAGCTGAAACATTTTTTTATTGGAATACATATACATAATTTACGTGCTTTTTCAGGATACATACCTATTCGCACACCCGCTAGAAAGCTTACTGCGACACCCACACCTATGGCCGGCACACCTCAAGGTTTCTTTATTCAAACGGAAGACAAGAACGCTAAATACATGGACAATCAACCAAAAGGAAATCTGCCGTTCATGAAACCAGAGGACACGCAGTACTTCGATAAATTGCTAGTTGACGTAGATGAAGAAACGCTGAGCCCTGAAGAACAGAAAGAAAGAAAAATTATGAAATTGCTTTTAAAAATAAAAAACGGAACACCTCCAATGCGCAAAGCTGCTTTGAGACAAATAACGGACAAAGCAAGAGAATTTGGTGCTGGACCTCTTTTCAACCAGATCCTTCCGCTTCTTATGTCACCTACTCTTGAAGATCAAGAACGTCATCTGCTAGTAAAAGTTATCGATCGCATTCTTTATAAGTTGGACGATTTAGTACGACCGTATGTGCACAAGGTAATTGTTTTATTGTTATGAATTTATTGTCATTTTATTTCACTTCTTCAATCTTACTTAATTTTTATTACACTATTCAAATTTTTAGATTCTTGTCGTCATCGAACCTCTATTGATCGATGAGGATTACTATGCTCGTGTCGAAGGTAGAGAGATTATTTCAAATTTGGCAAAGGCTGCGGGTTTAGCCACAATGATCTCTACAATGAGACCAGATATCGATAATATTGACGAATACGTACGCAATACCACAGCAAGAGCATTCGCTGTCGTCGCATCCGCTCTTGGAATTCCTTCCCTTCTCCCTTTCTTAAAAGCTGTTTGCCGCAGTAAGAAATCGTGGCAAGCGCGACACACTGGTATCAAAATCGTGCAACAAATAGCTATTTTAATGGGCTGTGCCATTCTGCCACATCTGAAAAGTTTGGTAGAGATCATAGAACATGGTAAGTAAAAGTAATATAATGTAAATATAAATTGTCCTTTTTTTAATATTATATATATGGAAATGTTTATTTTGGAAACTAATTATGGCATGTAATTTTATAGGTTTAGTCGATGAGCAGCAGAAAGTACGAACAATTACCGCATTAGCCATTGCTGCACTGGCTGAAGCAGCAACACCGTACGGTATCGAAAGCTTCGACTCGGTGCTAAAACCGCTTTGGAAAGGTATCCGCACGCACAGAGGAAAAGGTTTAGCAGCGTTCCTAAAAGCTATCGGCTATCTCATCCCATTGATGGACGCAGAGTACGCGAATTATTATACCAGGGAAGTAATGCTAATCCTTATACGTGAATTCCAGTCGCCCGATGAAGAAATGAAAAAGATTGTGTTGAAGGTAAGATATTAATATTTACCATTTTTACTGTATCATATTTTATAAATTAGTTGCATCGTCCCAAAGTGAGTTTTTTAACATTTTGTATAAATTGTATTTAAAAAATAGGTAGTCAAACAGTGTTGTGCAACGGATGGTGTGGAAGCCCAGTACAT